TACGGTTTCCTCGAAATGGTTTTAGAAGTGTCTTCCAGATCGAGTATAACCATCTTGGATTGGAAGAAGAATGCGAGTGTAAATTCAAGGCAAAGTGCTGCCATGATAAGTTCTCATTTCGAAGCATAAGAATTGCTTATGATTGCCTAGGATGCATACCATACTGGTTTGTGACGACTTTTTCTTTCGCTTTAAGCTTGATAGTCTTTGAGGAATTCGTTTCTTTCTTTTTTCTCTAGGTACTTTTGTACGAAATCACTCATAGAAGCAGGCATTCTAATCATCTGGCACTTGACAAGGTACATTTTCTCGTTCCTTTTTCGTGACTTCTTTGAAGTGTAAGAACGCGACTTGGTAGATGATAATTCTGGAGTAGAAACACTACGGCTTTAAATTCGAAGGTATGTTTCTCTTATATAAAAACCAATGCGACTTTAGTGCGAACTTGTCTCTATCCCGGAGAACAGCAAACGTGACCTCGTGTTTTCGTGGCTGTCACGACTTAAGAGGAGAGATTCGCAAAGTGCCAGGTGGAAGTGATAAGCATAAGGTTCTCAAACGCAATAAACAAAAGCAAAAAGGCTCCTTCGTTATGCTGATAGTGATCTCGTTTCATTGTCACGCAGACGTGAGTGCTAATCCAAGTGAGATGTCAATGGAGCATCATGGACCGCAATGGCGTGTCTGTCATTGCGAGAACCACGACTTTTGGTAAGTTTGTTGCAACAGTCTCGCTGGATTCTTTCTTTTTTGTATCCTTCCAACAGGAACACTCCCGTGATTTACAAAAAATCGTAACGAAGAGGCTCATGAAACGCAGTGACACCGCTTAGCCGACGGTAAGCTACCACTTTTCCTATTTCTTCTAAACCTCGCAATGCTCTCCTTGATCATAGGAACTTTGGAATGGATTTTTGACCATATCAAGCTCACAGCTCCGTCCGTAAGCGCATTATCATACTCGAAATACCTCTGGACACGCGACAGCGTCTGTCTCATCGTGCTTCTCTCCTCGCTGCCAATGCTCCGCAACTTTTGGACAAGCCATCCGGGTTGTGTGGCGTCTCGGGCTGACACGAAGACGCAAAACTCCTCGTAATTCACAAAGCCTTCGAATGGAAGCTGTATGTCATCGCTGACAATCACTGGAATGCACAGGCTCGCGATGGCGTCGTAAAGCCTGCATGAACTGGGAGTGTCTCCCGCCGGAGTCAAGCAAAACTCGGAGCTTCTCATGCCTCGTGTGGCTTCCGCAAGACCGGCATCGTCTGGAAGTCCTTCCTCGAGCAAAACTTCCGGTTCGTTGTCTAAGATTTTCCAGAGCTTTTCTCTGACAAGCCCGCTCTGCAGGACGAAAGCGAAAGAAAAGCTATCACACTCAAGAACAGGAAAGTTCTGTTACCCTGTGACGATGGCGAGCTCCTCTGAAGTACAGGAGAACAGTCCGGTGTTGATCGTCCGCGATCTTCAAGGGTGGCAGCAAGTGCGTGTGGGGGATTATCACGTCTTTGATCGGAGAGACCTGGGAGTGCTGGATGATGGTGGAGGAATTCAGCTTGTTCTTGGCGTCCTCCAGGTACCATCCTCCAAAGTCGACCACCAGGAACACCGCAGTGGAGATTTGCTCGCGGACGTGCCACATAGCCATGGGATCTGGAAGAAGAACAGGAGCTTGGAGAGAGAGAGAGAGCAAAGTTTCGTTTTTACCAGCGAGAACGAAGACATGGTCGACTCCATTGCTCCGCCTCCACTCGAGACTGCTGGTGACGAGCTCCACCACTCGCCGCTGGCGATCAAAGTCGGAGTTTTTGGAGCTCCTCTTGCGAAACTCGCCACGGTGGCCACCTCTGAGCTGGATTTGAGCGCTGAGAGCCGCGAAGAATGGCACGAAGACAACGTCCGCGAGCCGGGAGTCCCACACTCGAACAAAGTTTTCCTTCTTCTTGGAGGGGCTGTCGAGCAGATCGCGCAGGAGCCAAAACTCGGCACTGTGCTGCTTGAGCAGAGGATTCGTGGGATACTCGCCGGTGGAGCAGCAGTTCTGGGAGCGGCAGTAGCTCTCGAGGAGGCCATGGTGGAATTCGCGAGGAAGATCGGCGACATAAACTCTGAGAAGCTGGGATGATTTGGCTTTGGCGATCGAGCAGCTCCTCTGTGTCCAAGCCCTCGGCGAGAAGGAGAAGAGGAAGAATTGGGCGAAGCCGAGCGCGAGCGAAAGCAAAAAAATTCTGGAGCTCAAGAACCGAGTGAGAAAATCTGGCAGCCTCCTTACCTCCATTCCATTCCAAGAAGAGAGGAGAACACTCCTTGCGGCGGTTACGAGGTTTAATCTCTGTTCTTTGGCTAGCATAAAAGAATTTTTTAAATTGCTTAGTGGAAATACATCCTTAATCACCAATTTTTATATTGTATGCAAAGGTCTCCTAGAATAATATATATGACGAAACCTATGATAAACTTCTGGAAAATACTAGTGACTTTTTCTTCTTTGACAATAGGTACTACCTCTTTTTCCTCAATATCTTGCGGTTTCACTCTAAAATACATTGATTTTAAAGCTTGTGCCGCTGTAAGCCTTTTATCTGGATCCCAAGCGAGCAAACCCTGTAACAAATTCACTGCATCCTTATCTTCAATTTTCATAGACCAATCCTTCTCAGGTAGCTTCTTCATCTTGTCCATCACCTTTGCCTCGTCTTCCTCCCAGCTCAAATTGTAATTTCTATAACCACCAAAAGGCTTCTTTCCCAAGAGTAGCACTGCAAACACCACTCCAGCACCCCACATGTCCACACCTTTCCCAAACTTCTCAATCTCTTTGGAGATAACTTCGGGAGCCCTGAATCCCAATGATCCAATATGTACGGTTGGTGGAGTTGAGAGCTTCCTCGCACAGCCAAAATCCCCCAATTTCACCACAAAGTTGTTGCTATTGAGCTCAAATTTGAGACACTCGGGTAGGATGTCCTGATGCACAACTTCTCGCTCATGCAAGCTTGCCAAACCCACTAGGAGCTGCCGCATGGTTTCCTTAATCCAACCCACTTTGGAGAGCTTGTAACGCAGTCGCTCATCCTTATTGAATTCCCTGATATCCCATAGGTGCTCGAGAACTATGTAACCTCCATCTTCTTCCTGGACCATGTCGAGAACTTTCACGACGTTCTCATGCTTGCACTCCCTCATGAGTTCAAACTCTCGGACATAGTCATACAATTCATTGTCCACGCTCTTGATTAAAACTTTCTCACCTTCTTGATCACAGGCCACTCTCAGCACACAACCCAGCTTGCCAACCTTTTGCTCGTCATTGCAAAAACTATATTTCCCCAGTACCTTCGACTCCATGACAGAAGCCCTAGCTTGATTCCTAAACACTACTTTATATAGTTTCAACTCAAAAGGTTTTCTATCCTTTTCCTAATTCAGCTAGCTGAAAATATTTAGAAAATAAAGATTGAGGGTTTAGCTACCCTGACACAAACACACTCAAGGGTGCAAATTCCAATAAGTTATGGTCACAAATCCTATCGCTCTTCCCACTTCGCTGGCTTTGATAACAGCTGCGTATCCATTGTAGCATGGGAGAACTTTGGGCTTGATCGATTAAAGTCGCAGTGTTTCTACTCCAGAATTATCATCGACCAAGTCGCAGTGTTCTTACATTTCAAAGAAGTACCGAAGAAGGAAAGAGAAAATGCACTTTGTCAAGTACCAGATGATTAGATTGCCTGCTTCGAACTATCGCTATGTGTGATTTCATTACTTAGACTGCGAGCTTGCACAACTCACAGTCGCTTCTAAGCACCTGGCGCGAGCCACAAGAGAAAGAGTTATAGAAACGAAAGAACATCCAAAGAAGACACACCATGAAGAAGCCAAATGTCCGATAACAGCAGTTACTTGTTCTAGCCTTGAAAGAAGATGGCGACGTAGAGAATCGTTTACGAAGGTTCGCTGTTGAAGAATACACAAAACAGGAGAAAGGAAGTCAGTACCATTTCTTTCTCTTGTCCGGAATGCCCCGATGCTTGGAGCCTCTAGCGGCGAGAACCACCAGACTGGATCGAGCTTCTCGACAAGGAAAATCGAGCTATAAGTAGCATGAGTTCTCTAGCAACAATGTTTACGTTGAAAGAGAACCTTTTTTATATTTTACCTGTGGATCACGGCCAATACCAGCAGCAGCAGCTACGTGCTCAGAGTGTAAGCTGCTGACTTCCATGCGCAAGAATCGTTGGTTCATCTCTACGTGATGGACCCTACGTGAGGGTTCTCACTTGAAGCTCATCAAGGCAAAGAGCTCGTGATTCACTGCCGGGATGTGGCCAACTGGGACACTGAGCCCAAGATACGAATGCTTTTGCGGGAGTTTTAATCACTTATCTATTTTGATGGTTTAATCTTCCTTACATCTGTGCGAAAGTGTTGCCGCGAGAAGCAATAGTGTTATAACCTCTCAGATAAAAACTCCTATTGTTTCTAACAGGTATGACGGTCTCGCTTCCGTGCAAAGCCGCCAGCGAGCGGCCTTTCTTTACCGCGCAGCAAGCCACGGACGAGCAGGGGAGGTTCTCTCTCAACATTCCATCGCAAATCTCCGTCTCAGGCGATGATTCAAGCCCTGTGCTGCGAGCGTCGCAGCCGGGCATAACAATCATGGAACATTGCCGGATTAAATAGAAATAAAAAGAGTTAAAATAAAGGTTCACTATAAATGGCAAAAGGTGGCGGAGAAAACGTTGTGAAATATGCATTTGGATCTTGCGAAGCTTCTAGCGAATTATTTTCTTCGTCAAGCTCCTGGTCCCATTGTTCGCTACTCCCTTGATCCCCAAGATCTGGGTGACCACGTTGTAGATCTCCACATTGACGAACGCTTCCACCTGTTTGCCTCTCGCGAACCTCGGCCCCGCCGCGAAGAACACCGCCCTCATGGACGCGAGAGTGTTGTCATAGCCGTGCGCGCCACCGCAGTCCGGCCCGCTCGGCCGCTTCACCACCACCTTGTATCCCTCGGCCACCATCCCGATGATCGGCGAGATCCTGTCACTGCCCGAGTAGTGCAGCCGCGCTGGCAGCTCCTCCCGGACGAACACCTTCAGGAACTTCCCATTCGCGACTTTGCCGGAAGCAAGCGCAGCGTTGAGCGCCGCCACAATCCTCTTGAGCTTCTTCGCGGCGAGGCGAGCCGGGGGGCGGATCGCCAGCACCGGGGTGACGCTCTCGATCCACTCCGCCGGGAGTTTGGTGTTGGCCGCGGCCGAGAGCTCGTCCAGGGAGATGATCTTGGTGTCGCACGTCCCCACGAAGCCATGGTCGCTCACCATGATCACGTTCACGTCCTGGAGGATCTTCCGCCGCTCGAGACCGTCGAGCAGCCTTCCAAGCACGGCGTCCACTCTGGTGACGGCGTCGCTGATCTCTGGCGAGTCCGGGCCGACAGTGTGAGCTTCCGCGTCGGGGTCCTCGATGTAAACCGCGATCAAGCTCGGCCTCTGTGCTTCCGGTAAATCCACCCAGCTCAGGACAGTATCGATGCGGGTGGCGAAAGGAACGGACTCGTTGTAGCGGTGACAGTAAGCCGGAGGACACGTCCATTTGCCTTTGGCCACCTCGGAACCCGGCCAGAAGTAAGTTGCTGCTTTGAGGCCATGGTTGACAACTGTTTCCCACATAGGCTCGCCGAGCCACCACTTTGGATTTGTATCGTTCTTCATGAAGAAGGTTTTTCTTGAGGCGTCGGTGGGGTCTCGAAAGGAGTTCAAGATAATACCGTGCCAAGCAGGATAGAGACCTGCCACCATTTAAACAAGGCTGAGAAGAGAAAATAAAGGCTTTCATACCAGTTGCGATGGAGTAGTGGTTCGGGAATGTAATGCTCGGGTACACTGGCAACATCCCAGGATAGGCCTCGGTTCCATCTCTCTTCAAACGATCAATGTTGGGAGTTGCAACCTTCCACTGGTAACCCCATCTAAAACCGTCTGCAGAGAGCAGGATCACAAGTGGTTGCTTCAAAATCTTGAGCGAGTGCGAGACAGTAGAGCGCGAATCAACTCGCATTGCAGATTTGTGGCATGAAGAGAGCGAGACTGAGAGGAGTACGACTGCCACTGCAAGAACAAGGAAAAGGACTGCGCCAACGTAAATGGTATAACTAGCCTTTATCGAAGTTCTTCCCTGCCGCTCGTTCTTCAAATCCGTCACAGCGCCTCCGTCATTCTTCATAGCGGCAAGCTACGAGCGAGAATCACGCCTGTTCGAGGAAAAAAGAACGCAAACAAATAACACAGCAGTAGGCGACAGAAATGAAGACTATACCTTCGAGAGGAGAACTCAAGAGGACTCGAAACTCTGTCTGACAAAAAAATCGTGCTTGAAGCACTCGAGAATGAATCTTAAAAGATGTCACTTTACAAGCACTATTGCCCGTGCACTTATTCACCGTTTACTCTGCAGTGGAAAACATGTTAGCTAGAGATTAGTAGCACAATAGAAGAAACTCACCATGGTTAGAGGGCTACTTAGAGAGGAGGATACTCTGGGGAAAAGCTGTCGTTCCGTTGTTACTGGTCCCGTTGATCCCGAGAATAGTTGCAATCACGTTGTACACCTCCACGTTAACGAAAGACGGCACTTTCTTTCCCCTGGCAAACTGCGGCCCATGCCCGATGAAAATCGTCCTCATCGAAACCAAAAGATTGTCGTAGCCGTGAGCGCCTCCACACTCTGTGTGAGTCTTCCTGGGACGTGTCAACTCGACTTTGTAGCCTTCTTCCACCATCCCAATAATCGGCTGGATCCTCTCACTCGAGGAGTAGTGCAACCTCGAAGGTAGATCTTCTTTCAAATAAACTTGCAGGAACTCCCCGTTCGCCACACTACCAGAGGCCAGCCCCTGCTTCATCTTCTCCACCACGACCTTTGCGTCGACGTCGAGAGGCGGAGTGATTGCGAGCACCGGACTTGTCGAATCCACCCACTCCTTTGGAATTTGGATCCAGCGTTCCAAGTCTTCCAAGAAGATCAGCTTTTTATCGCAAGTTCCAACCATGCCATGGTCGCCAACCATGATAATCGTCACCTCTTCCAGGATGTTACGTTTCTCAAGGCCTTCCAGCAGCCTTCCTATCATCGAATCCACCCTGGTGATGGCAGCGCTGATCTGAGGTGCATCCGGTCCTACTTGGTGGCCTTCTTCATCCGGTTCTTCGAAGTAGAGTCCGATGAAACTTGGCCGCTGTGGAAGATCAAGGTATCCCAGAACAGCGTCCACTCTCACCTCGAATGGAACCGACTTATTGTAGCTCGGACAAATCTCGGGACGACAAGGCCACGACTTTCTCACCACCTGTGATCCCGGCCAGAAGTAGACAGCCGCCTCAAGCCCGTTCTTCACGACTGTTTCCCAGATTGGCTCGCCAATCCACCACTTCGCGTTGAGATTGCCCATGAAGAACGTCTCGTTGCTCGAGCGAACGGGGTCGCGAAAATAGTTCGCGACGATTCCATGCCAAGCGGGATATAGACCTGGAAGAGCAGCCAAAGTCTATAAGATACTCCCACGAAGAAAACATCTCTAAGAAACGAATGGAAGGAAAGAAAGAAAGAAAAGCTTACCAGTAGCTATGGAATAGTGATTCGGGAATGTGACGCTGGGATACACTGGAATCATCCCAGGGAACGCTTCGGTACCATTGGAAATGAGGCGATCGATGTTTGGAGTCGGGACTTTCCACTGGTATCCCCATCGAAAACCATCCGAGGAGATCAAAATCACCAGCGGCTTGTCGAGAACCCTGAGCGGCCTCGAAATCTCGGACGAGGAAGCCGATCTGTGCTGCGTGGAGAGGACGACCACGAATGCGAGCACCAGAGCAGCCATGACGCCGAGCGATCCAGCCGCGAAGCAAATGCAGCGCGCGAACCTGGATCCGAGAGCTTGCAGCTGGAAGTCTGGAGCTACCAGCGGCTCCACCTCGTCGGAATGCGCTCCTCCACCTCCACATTGCTGCGCCTCCTCGCCCTTGCTCTTGCCGTCCTCCATTGTCGTGAAGACCTAAAATATTCGGGGGCCTTTGGTCGAATATCCTTGTAATGGATATGCCTTATGCTTATATTATTAAATTTATAAAATAGATTTAAGTTTTAGATTTTAAATGCTAACCATAGATGTCTTCTCTAGTTCTTGTAAAAGTTGTTTTTCTTGTTTGTACTATGTGATATCTCTTGAATGTTTTTTAGATAATAATTATATATGTGCTCCATCATTCCTTATTTGTGTGTTGTGGTTGCTTGAGAAATGTATATACTAATGTATTTTGTCCTTCATGTATCTCATTTATTCATTCATATATTATTTACAAACTCTTGCAGCACCCTCTAAAAGACCGATGGGTTTAAATATGCTGCAATGACAATTGTTGTGACTATTTGTTGTCCAATCTCATTGGCATATATGCTTCAAATATATATTCACAGTAGAAGATAGTACTTAATTTGTTTTATATTAAAAACTAAATTGATGTTTCTGCTATGCTCAGAAGAGTTTAGGGAGGAACCCAAGAAAAGATAGAGAGTGGGGATAGAACTCGAATTGGTTTCACCAATAGTCTAATGCCTCCAGACCAAAAACATGTATTATTTGTATCTTTAGCCATAAGTACAACAGTAGAGGGTGCCATTAACATTCTTTACTTTCGAGTTAATCTCAACCTCTTTGTTTTCTCCGTCATAGCAGTAGAATGCGTATTGATGTCCAAGATCAAAATCACATGACTTAATGTTGGAATCACACCACTCTAATGTAACTTGTGAAGGCACCCTTTCACCCTCCAAATTCTTGCAACCGGCATTGATTACTATAGGATTGTCACCTTGCGTGATAGTAGCACGTATATCACAAGTATCCAGCCAGAGGCCAGTACAAATTCTGCGCAAGAAACACTCGTGACAAGAAAGAAATGATACCAATACAACAATTAACCATAAGCCTCTCATATTAATAGTGTAGCCTGAACTACAGTTGGATTATTGATAGAATAGGATGTAAACTGAGCATTTATAAATCTCTACTTCTACACTGTTTTTACACACCAAAACTGCCATTTGTCAAAAACATCTACAACAATGCCTCATGGCGTTTATAACAATAAGAATTATTATAATCCAATCTTCACACACTTGTTATATTTTGACGTTTCGATGGAATTAAGTTCCGCGTTTTGGAATCGTAATCTTTCCACCCGACGTGTTAATGAGAGCCCGAAACTGGTCCATCGCCGCCGTCTCCCTTTCCTCCACAACCGAGAGCTTCTTCTGGAGCGCTTCGACTTTCACATTAGCTCTCTTTTCTCTTCGAGCACGCTCTCTCGCAAGCCTTGACAAATCCAAAAAACAAATCAATCAGAACAAAGATTGAGAACAGAAAAACAAAGAGAGAAAAAAATACTTACATCATCTTGAAATCGTCTCCACCTCCCATCAAGTCCGTCTCTCGCATTGGCTCCGGACTCAAATCGCGGTTCCTGTTCTTCTCTCTTTGGATGGCTTTCTTCTCCAAGAGCCTGTCCTTGCCGGTTGCCTTGGGCAAAAGCTCGTCCATTACAAGCTCGTGTTCCTTAACGAACTTCTTCTGCTCTGCCTTTTCCTTCTTCCTCTTTTGCAGCCTCTCATCCTCCTCGTCCACTGTAAGTCATGCTTTAGCAGGAAAACGTGAAAAGAAAACTCGTTCTTGCCTTGATTGTCGTCTCCTATATTCCACTTGTGATTCGTTCTTTTCGCCGCTTTGATACCTTGGTAGTACTTGTCAGCGAGTTTGCCAGAGTTCCAAGCGTCTGCAAAACTTGAGAAGAGCTTCCGGGTCTCCTCCGCCGATAAGCTCGAGAAGTAAAGGCCGCGGTTCTCTTTCAGCCATGTCGCAAACTCGGGGTTTTTTGCGTAGTAATCGTCCATTGTGATCGTCTCGACCTGCATTGAACAACAAAGAGATATGAGAGCAAACGATCGGCAGAAAAATCCTCTGGACTCACTTTCTTAGCTCGTTGATCATCAGACTTTGCTGAGGCCTTGTGATCTGGAAGAAAGAAAACCAATGGTCACTAGGAGAGAAAAAGAAAGGCGAGGAGAAAGAGAAAAACTTACCTTTGAGAATCCTCTTGGCTTCTTTCAGTAGCTTCTTCTTCTTTCTTCTCTCGGATTCGCTCTCACTGCTGCTCTCATCGTCACTGCTGCTATAGTCATGGCGTTTGCTCCTTTTCCTTCGTCTTTCGCCCCTCTCCTCCTCGCTTCTCCTTATCTTCCTCCTCTTCTTCTTCTTCTCCTCCTCACTATCATCGTCTCTTACTCTCTTCCCATCCTTCTCATCGTCGCTGGTACTGCTGTGATGTCTCCTCCTTGATCTCTTCTTTCGATCTTTCCTCCTGTTTTTCCTCCCACCATCGCTCTCGCTATCGTTGTCGCTGCTACTGCCGCTGCTAGAATGCCTTGCTGATTTTCTCCGGTGCTTACGCTTCTCGTCCTTGTGCCTCCTCTTCCGCCTGGATTCCTCGTCCTCGCTGCTGTAATCTGCCAAGAAACCCTCGAATCCAATGCCGGCACTGACCAGAGACCATACCTGACGAGCTCGGCGAAGAATCGGATTCCTTGCGCGCATCCATCCAAGATTAGGGTTCTTTGCAAATCTAGGGTTTTTCAAAATGTAGCCTGAAAAGGGTAAAAGCTCGGGATCGGCAGTGGCGCTTCGAAATCCATCAAGATCTACGAGAATCTCCGCCGGGATGGCCTCCAGCCAAGTTTCCATCGTTCTTGCGGCTCTCAAGGTATGCATCGTGTACGCTCGATGCGGCAGCATGGCCGACGCGCGCCTCGTCTTCCAATCGATGTAGCAGCGAGCTCTGGTCGATCTGGTCTCGTGGAATGCCATGATCCAGGGCTACTCCGAGAATGGGGACTTCTTGCGGTGGTTTCTCAGGATGAAAGAAGAGGGATTCCAGCCCGATGGTCGTGGCTGCGCTCAAAGCTTGTGCTTCGATCGTTGGCACTGGAGAAAAGGAGGAACTCATGGAGAGGAAAGAAGATCGCACAAGAGCGCTCTTGGAGAGTGAAGATCAAGTCTCTGGAGAAAGGGATGGCTGTTCACGCAGATCAAGGTGGTTTTCTCGGACGGGACACTGATAGCGAACAGCTTAGTGGACTTTTACTCCAGATGCAAGGAGGTGGAGCTTGCTCGCCAGGTCTTTGATGGGATCCAGCACCGGACTCCTGTGTCCTGGAACTCCATGATGATGGGATGCGTCGAGAATGACGAGCCAGAGGTGGCTCTGGAGCTCTACGCTTCCATGCATAATGAAGAAGAAAGACGACCAAACAAAGTTAGTGTGCTCGCGGCACTCAAGGCGTGTGGGAACTTAGCTGCTCGAAAACAGGATGAAGAACACAGGGGAAAACAATCTAGAGAGAGTCGCAGCGATTCACTCACAGGCTGTAAGATCCGAGATCGAGATCGACACTCACCTGGGAAGCAGCTTGGTGGATGCCTACGCGAGGTATGGAAGCCTGATCGATGCTCGCTCTATCTCACGACACCATCGCGTGGAACTCTCTCATCCTTGCTTACGTCGATTCCGGCGACACCGAGCTTGGGCTAAAGTCATATCTGGAGATGAAGGAGCAAAGAAGCTGCTGCTCGCCAGATCGAATAACGTATCTCGCGGCTCTCAAAGCTTGCGGTTACTTAGCAGCGCTGGAAACCGGGAGGATGATCCACGAAGAACTCCACGCCGAGAAGCTGGACTGCGAGACGAAGGTGGTGAACCCGTTGGTGGACTTCTACGGCAAGTGTGGGAGTTTAGTCGAGGCCCAGCAGGTTTTCGACGAGTTTCCGGCGGGATCCAGGAACTTGGTAACTTGGAACTCGCTGATGGCGGCTTATGGCAACGCTGGAGAGGTGTGGAGGGTTCTCAAGCTCCTGGAGACGATGATCCAGCACAGGGAAGAGCCCGACTCGGTAACTTTTATGGTGGTTCTCAGCGCTTGCAACCATGCGGGACTGGTGGAGCAAGGCCAGAACCTCTTCGAGGCTATGAGCTCCGAGTTTGGGATCTGGCCTTCGATCGAGCACTGCTGCTGCGTGGTCGATCTCCTCTGTCGAGCCAACAGGATGGAAGAGGCAGTGATGCTGGTGACGGAGAGAAGCTCGAGTTTTTGCTCCTCATCATCGGCCAAGCTCTGGATGGCGATCCTCTGCGCTTGCTACAAGGCGAGCAGCAATGTGGAATTTGCGAGGATTGCTTTCAAGGCTGTGGAACTGGATGAGAAAGTGGCGGTGGCTTATGTTATCATGGCAAGCATGGAAGAAATGGAAGAACTCTACGTCACGCCTATGTTTTGATTATTGTTGCGAATATGCGCTTAGGGTTTTTGAAGTCAACATAAAATGTAGGCTCCATTGTCTTTCTTCAGCCTGTATCTAGGCAGTTTCTACGTTCCTTGCATGTTCATCCTTTCTAGCACGTCTGATTTAAATACGAATATCTAAACTGATTATTTCTGAGACAGGTTGCATCTCCAACAAAAAGTCGTATGGAAATGTCAATGGCAAACCTTCTGGCTTAAGTTGTTTAGGATATTAATATTATTATTTATGATTAATTAATATTTTGTAGAATTAATTTTATGAAGCTATCTGACTTACTAGTAATGTATAACCTGTTTTACCATTGAAGTTAGTATACTACGTGCGAGTATAAGAAAAATACGTGGTCAAGATACACTGTTGCACTAACTCATTCAGCCCACTATAAAAACTGGTTCTTCTCCGGTGTATCCCAAAGGTGATTTGCAATAGCAACCATGGCGACGATGCTTGAGGCCTTCGGTTCATTGAAGGAGATTGGTGAGATTGTTGGGAGTTTCGATTTCAGTAAGGTGAAGTGGAACCTGTCTTGTCTGAAGCAGTGCTTAATTTCAATCCTTGTGCAAAGCTGCAGATTGATGTGCGTTCCACGAGTGCCGAGGATTACCTCCACACAAACCTGGCACCGTCATTTGGGGACCTGAATGCAGAAACAGTGAAGAAGATGGATGAGGTTCTCAAGGTTTGCATCGCGGGAACCACCACTCTTCTCGCCAAAGTGCCACCAGAAGAGCGAACTTGGGAGAAGGTCAACTCCATGTTCATGCAAAACCCCCTGGTTGAGCCAATGGGTGACGGGGTTAGCAGAGCTGACAAGTTTATCAACAAAAGCTCTAATGATTTTAAGTTTGACGGGTCACCGGATTCGGCCATTGTGAGAGCAGTAAGTTCTGTGACATTATGTATTATAACAGCAGAGCTCTACTAACCTTTGGGGCCTTCTCTCCTCACAGGTTCAGACCTGGTTTGTGAATTTCATTGCAGATCAGGACGTCCTGGAATCAACCAAGATCAACATTGAAGTTCTTGGGAGCATCGTTGCTCAGTCAGGGGCAACCATTAACAGCTTTGAAACTATATTTGCCAAGCATGAGTACCACGAGAAAACCATGGTTGACATTGGGGTGCTAAGGTACCCTGATATGCTCAACCCTTACTTCAAGGTTTGTGTCATGTTGCCAAGTATTTCAGTCAGCTCATGCTTTTAGCATAGGTGTACCGCATCAAACTCTTTGCCTGGTCTGATAGCAGCCGTATTCTGTTCCATCAGGAGGATTCCAATGGCATCACTGGAGGTGAGATGTGTAATGTAACTTAATGCATGGTTTTTATGTCTTGCTTGCAGAGTTTAACTTCCGCAAGTTTAACCCACGTAAGGAAGTCATTGACAAGATGAACCCAAATGCCAAAAAAAAGGCTGTGGAGGATGCTGATAACATATTTGGTTTCTAGTATCAAGGCTGCATGTCATCTACTTGAAAATAACAGCTATTCTTCTTTTTTATACTGTTTTTTTCTATGATTATGTTATGTTACATTGCCATGCTCAAATCATATAATGCTAAACCTTCCATTGATCTCTGAGTTGTTGAAGCGTTTATCCAAAGTTTGGTTCTTCATCAAGATTGACTTATGTAGTGCTTCCAATCTCATTTATATTCATGAGGGTGATTTGGAAAATAACTTTTTGTACATGTTATGGCCACTTTGAATACAGAAAAATGCTTTTTGGTTTAACTAACACTTTTATTATTTTGTACCATAATGACTTTCATGATTTTTGTAATCTCTTCATTGCCACCTCTTTTGACAATAATTTTATCTTCTTTAAGACTCAAAAAATTTGCAACCATAATGTTTATATTGTCCTCTAGTACTTTTAACAATAAACCATTTTATAAAGTTAATAAATGTTCTTCTAATCAAAATTTGGTAGAGTTTTTGAGTTATATAATTTCCTCATGTGGCATTATTATAGACTTTGCTAAGGTTTCCATCATTCTTATGTGGCAACACTCAACTTTTGTTCATAATGTTTAATAATTCTTTGTCTATATGAATTTATTTTAGTGTTTTATTCAGGACTTCTTTAAAATTACTCTTCTTCAAATGTAATTTATTTTAAAGGATTTATTTATTTATTTTGCCCAAATTTCTTATGATCTCCTGAAGTTTTTTTGCCTTTGGACAACATGAAATTATATTTTGTTAAGGTAAATACTTCAAATTTCATTTTGGGTGCTATTTTGCTACAAGAGGGACTAAATAGCAAACTTTATCTGATTATTTTTCATTCTTGGAAATACACAGATGTAAATATTAATTATGAAATCTTCAATAAAGAACTTTTGCAATTGTAGACCTTTTTAAAATGTTATTTCTTTGAAAATTCTCTAACATATAACCACTGCTTACATTGATCACAAAACCCCTAATATTTATATCAATTTGAGGATGTGTGTCAAAAATAATTGGCAAACAGGAATTTAATTGCTGCCATCCTTAACTCAAAGTATTAAAGTTCTGGTATTCTCTTAATAATTATACTTAGGAACCAATTTAGAGATTGGGTTTTGTTTTATAGAATTCTATTTTTATCATTTTTATGATTGTGGAGTACTATATATGTCTTCTCCTCAATTTTCTCCTTCTGTTTTATAAAATTTTATTTTAATCATTTTTATGATTATGGAGTAATATATATGTCTTCTCCTCAATTTTCTCCTTCTGTCACCCAACAGAAATCCACTTTCAATTCTTGAGATCATACTATAATAAAGCACTACTTTTTCTTCACCCAATCTCAAAGACTATTTAATAGATAAGAAAATGAAGTAAATATGAATGATAAATTTAAATTACTTCCAAAAATGAAGTCATTAGATCATCTCTTCTAAAAAAGAGCATTTAAGAGTGAGACATTATAACACTCTTCCATGCCTTGATTTTGAAAGGCATCCCTTTTTCTTCTTTTGAAAAGTTTTATTTTTGGTCTACCTTTCATCTTGAAAGTTTAAAAAATATTTTGAGTTTCAAAAGTAAGTTTTTTATTTGATAACTTTTAAGTACAATTTTGTTCTTCATGCCAGTAATCAATTATAAGCTAATAATCTATATCCATAGTGTCAGGAGCTAAAAATGACTCCCCAATTTGCAAGAAACCCTAGATGATGTGGCAAAAGAAGCCATGTGTACAAAATTGGCCACATCGCTAGCATATGGTATACAAATTATCTTTTAAAAAAAATTTCATTAGTTATGAAATCGATTTCCATAGTCATTATACATATTTTAGACAGCAATTTAAATTAAAGCTGAATTTATTAGTAGACTAAGGGATTATACCTAGGTATTATCTAGGCAATGGAGAGCACATTGAATATGGAGATCGTGAATTGGCTTGTTTATTAAGTCTGAAAGGTAATAAGAATAGGAACATCGATTTTCATCTAGAAGCATTTAAGGTGTAGCATGTGGCCCTTGACTATGTAATGTAAGCAGCTTCTTGTTTAAAGTGGTGCTCTCTAGTTCACGAATCCTTATTTCAAGCTGATTAGTTTGTCTCTCTGGATAACTTCACAGCAACATCAAGATGAAGGCTGTACTAGTTTGTTTCCTTGTGATAATTCTTGGCTACTACGCAACTCCTATTTTTCAAGGCTACTACTTCAACACTCCTAATGAATCTTGTGATCAGGAGGACAGAGTCTGCACTGGTAAGATGTATGGGAAGCTTAGTGGCCACAACTGTAAAAACAAAGGTGGGAAACATTATGGATATCAAGGCGATTGTCTGAAAATCAACCAAGCAATGGGACTTGAGGGTGGATGTTGCTACTTGAGCTGAATCACTTAGAGACATTGACATTCACTTACTATCAAGATGCAAGAAATTTGATAATCAGCTAAATTGCAGAATGCTAGTAGTTTCTCATCACAGAAGATTTCTAATAAAACATTCTAACAAGTCCTATGCAAGAGGAGGTCACACCGCATGACTTCCCGACGAGTTTAACATGCTAAAGCAGTATCACAATTTTGGTACAGGTACCTTCGATTAGCCAAGTTTGCAATGCGGGCGAGCTGCGCGATCTCAGTGTGAGCACTTTCTTAGCTTGTTGATCATCAGACCTTGTGATCTGGAAGAAAGAAAACCAATGGTCACTACCTGGATAGAAAAAAAAAAAAGAGAGGAAACTTACCTTTGAGAATACCCAGTAGCTTCTGCCTCTTTCTTCTCTCCGGTTCGCTCTCACTCACTGCTGCTACGTTTGCTCCTCTTTCTTCGTCCTTCCTCGCCTCTTCTCTTTCTCGTCCTAGTTTCTTTAGGGTTCTTCGCAAATCTAGGGTTTTTCAAAATGTAGCATGAAAATCCATGCCAAGGGGAAATGCTCGGGATCGTCGGGCAGTGGCGCCTCGAAATCCATCAAGATCTACGAGAATCTCCGCCGGGATGGCCTCCAGCCAAGCATTTCCATCGTTCTTGCGGCTCTCAAGGTATGCATCGGCGCGAAATATCTCGCGGCAGGGGCAAGAATCCACAGCGATCTGGCCGACCGCTGGAGCAGCAGCATCTACGTCGCCAACAATCTCATCTCCATGTACGCTCGATGCGGCAGCATGGCCGACGCGCGCCTCGTCTTCCAATCAATGGAGCAGCGAGCTCTGGTCGATCTGGTCTCGTGGAATGCCATGATCCAGGGCTACTCCGAGAATGGGGACTTTGAATCGGCCTTGCGGTGGTTTCTCAGGATGAAAGACGAGGGATTCGAGCCCGATGGTCGATCTTTCGTGGCTGCCCTCAAGGCCTGTGCTTCGATCGAGAAGGAGGAAAGGATCAAAAGGAAAGAAGATCGAACAAGAGCTCTCTTGGAGAAGGTCCGGGAGATTCACAGGGACGTTTCTTCTTCTTCCAGGGATACTTTCGTCGCAAACGCACTGATAGAGGCTTATGGAAGCTGTGGAAGCTTGGAGGA